CAAGTTGTTTTAAGGAAAGTATTAAGACTTTATTAGTAAGGAAGTATAAAAACTTCTTGCAAACATCTTTTTTGTGTGTAATCAGAGGATCAGCGAAAAAAGTATAAAATAATATTATTTAAAACTTTAATTATTTAGAATTATGAAAAATTTATTTGATTATAACTTTTAATATTTGAAAGTATCAATAAATAGTTACAATTGTAACTTTCTTATCTCTTATAAAAATAAAAATAATTATATCAAATTAATTTTTATTAAGATTACGTAGACACAATTGGAAAAAAATACGCATTCTTGTCGCGTATTACGTAACACACAAAATTCATTCAAATTTGTCCAATAAAGATCAGATGTATAAACTCAATTCTATCTTTACTTCAATGGTTGGTTTGTTAATTGTATATCCTCTCTATTCAGTTGGCATAGTTGCTTATTATATGCATTCTTTTTCTGCATAAACTACGAAATAAGAGGTATTAAAAATGCCAGAGGACACGAAGATTTATATTTCATACGACCAGATACACCGACTCATAAAAGACGCAGTAGAGCGTTTTCGTATTAATGAAGAGTTCAAACCAGACCTTATGATTGCTATAGGTGGTGGCGGATATATTCCGGCGAGAATTCTGGTGAGTGAATATATACTCTTTAGCGAGTTTCTTCCTTGAGAAGGGAAGACGGACGACCACTTCCCTAAACTCAAAGAATTTGTTCGTGCTACATTTCAACTTTGTGCATCCATGTCCTCTTGCTGTACAAAAAAAAACTTGTTGTCAACTGGTTTTTTGGGTCGTTTGGCCTTGCACATCTGAGAAATGTATCATGTGCAAAGGCAGATATTTTGCGGGCGTGTTGTTAATATATGCATCAATTAACTAAATATTCGTTGATTTTGTAAGTTATTCATTGTCAGTCGAATAGTTTGAGCATTTGACTGCATGCATGTACTGCGATGCATCACTGACATTTAAACATTTATGGTAATGAGCAGTATAATAACTATTTATTTTCTTTTGTTCTAATGTACGAACAATTTCACAACAGCGTTCGTTCCTTAAACGCCCAAACAATAAAAAAATTCCAATTCAGGCAATTGGTCTTTCTCTATATGAAGATCTCGACATCGATTCTGATCGATCGAACGCAACAGCCAGTATTGGTACACAAGTGGTAAAAACTCAATGGTTACATTTTGGTCATGTCAGTTTACTTGGGAAAAACATTCTCATTGTTGACGAGGTTGATGACACAAGAACAACCCTTGCGTATGCTATCCAAGAACTTACCAGAGACATAAATGAAGAAAAACTCAAATATATCCAAAATCATCCGGGAGAAGATGTCCCTGAAGTAAAGCTTGGAGCATTTGTTATTCATAACAAAAAAAAGCCGAAGGTTGAACTACCTGATCCAAGCATACTTCGGGAAGGTAGGTATTTCGCAGCTAAAGAAATACCAGGTAGATGGGTGGTTTATCCATGGGAAGCTATTGACATTGATGAGCACACAAGAATTAGCTTACAGCAAGAGAAAGAAGAAAGTTTAGGTTAAGGAGGAAGGCGGTTAATCCATTTTATATCGGTATTATATGAATGCTGAGAAAGACGAGGATAATGATTTGAGCTACTTTTTATAATTTGTTTGATACCGTGGTGGTTGTAAAAGGACCTCCGAAATAATAAAAGATTTTTTTTTTTTTCTTATTTTGTGTTTTTTTTTACGGCATGTAATTTAATGTTTGCTTCAACAACTTGTAATATTTTTCGTCTGTGCAATCGAATCTTTCTAAGAACATCTGTCTGTTGTAGGAATGTACTGTATTTCTTGAAAATCCAAGTTTTAATGTGTTATGTACTGAAGAACGACCAGCTAACCACATTAACACATTTTATCTATTGTTTCGAGATATCCAGCAAATAAATTTCAGTATAATTTTTAAAATTTTCTCATTTTTTTTTTTAGTTTAATATTTTTGAAGTTTTTTTTTGTAAAAATAAAGGTCATCCTTTCATCACAAGACGATAATAAAATGTAGCATCTCCGGAAAGTAGTATAAATATCAGTATCCGACGACAGAATAGTCTTCAAATAGGTATACAAAAATATTCAAAAATATCTGAGAAAAAATCTATATATACAAAAGAAAACTGAATAACGGTGAAAAGTTAAGAAAAAAAAACCACCGAATGCTCTGTATGCACACAGAATGATATAGTGACAGACTACGCTTGATTTTGAAATTCAAAACGAGGTCAGAATTCTTGAATTAAATAATGCTAAAATCCAACGGTACATATAGAATATCTATGTATATGTCCCACTCAGAAAAAAATAAAGAAATTCTATTATATGTTTCTCACACTGTTCATCAGACTATGATCCAATAAGAACATATCTAAATCTGTCCAACCACCGCCTACCCTAACCATGACTTTATTACCATAACTCGTGAGTTTGACATTGTGAACTTTTCTCTCTCGTCCAGGTTCCCCATTACCAAAGAAGTACCGGCCACCACCACCCGGGGCTCTCTCTACCTTTACATGAATTGGTGAGGCGTTAACAATTTTTGCGACCTCGACGTCAAGCGGATCGCTCTTCACTGGAACATATTTAACCGATCGATTATTCATCTTTGATAAAGTTTGCGACAATGGAGTAATGGGACGATCCTCGTTCTCGGGTGTGATCGGTCTGGAAGGGCTGCTTGTTTGCGAAGATGGGGTGGGGGATCTTAACGGTACTCTTCGTACAACAGGTGGAGGAGATACCATTCCATTACGATACATGGATGCCATACCTGGCTGTGGTGTACTTGGTTTCGGCAAGAGAGATCTCATACCAGCTCGCGAAGACGCTCTATTAATAATTCCCATACTTGTAACAGGTCGCGGTATGGCGGAGGCCGATGAACGTTCCGGAGATATTAATCGATTTGAAGATGACCTCCCAGGTGAATCGGGTCGTCCGTTTCTTGGCTGAGGCGATATGGTACGATCACGATAGTATGGATTATTGTGATTATTATATGACTGGTTATAATGCGAGCTATTATATAAAGAATTATTGTATTGTGCGTTCCATTGCCGTTCATAGTGATGTGGTGGGCTTTCCGCGCGACGATTATTAGGAGCCAAATGATTACGTCCGCCCATTGGACTCATCGCTCGAGGGGATGGGGACTTTGATCGTAGAGACGGTGATCTAGCATTATTACGTGATGGGGACACGGATGATTCGTGATGTTCCATGGGAGGCATTATTCCATACGGGGACAATGATCTTTGTCCTTTTGGAGAACCGGATTCTGGGGAAAACATTCCCCTTGATGGTCTCATGTTTGGAGACATTGGCGGTGAAGATGCTATCGACGAGGGTATCGATGAAGGAGGTGAATTACTGGACATGTAAGAATGTTCCATTAATGATTCCAGTCCTGGCATATCACGTTGCACTTCTTCCACCCCATCCAGTATATTGTCCCAACGTTCCTTCATGGATCTGTACTTCTTAATAGCTTCCATATCTCTGGTCATTTGTTGATTGATACCATTTGCAAGCATCGTGAGCATTTTGGTTACCGCAGGGACATAATATTTTCGCTTAGCATCAAAACTCTTATAAAGCCTTTGAAAGTTTTTTGGGGAAATAGCTACTGGAGGTTGTGATAATTGTTGTTGCGAGTAAGGTCTTTGGTTATATCTAGAAGCTGTCGGTGTTCCTCTATTTTGCTGTAGCAATTTCAATGCCAAAGGAGAATCTAATCGGCTAAGAGCTCTTGTCATAAAGTCTTTACATTGTTTAACTGCTCTCTCGAGCGAATCCATCATATTACTCGCATTGCCTGTTACTTGTTTAAAGACACCCAACCATCTGTCCTCTTTTAGTTCCTCCCTCAACGTCTCCATTTCTTTTCTCAACGCATCCCACTTACTCGATAATATATTATTCTTTTTCTTCAGTACACCATTAGGATCCGAGGGTGCATTGGGAGCAGATAATCGAGATCTCAAGTATTCTATACGTGCAGCTAAGGGTTCTAATCGAGAGTCCAACTGCCTTAGAGCACTTTCAGCTCGCGAACTAAATTCGCTGTTATGAGAACTATTGAGTGCAGCAGGAGCAATCGATTTATTCCACGTATTCGGGCTGGAACTTAATTTAGGAAAAGAATTTTCACCGACTCCCTCACCAAAACCGCTTAGCCTTTGTTCCTGATACTCAAATATGCTTGTATTTAATTCTTCTATTGTTGCTATTATTTGATTCATCGTGTCCAAAATTTCGCGTCTTTGCTTAGACTCCGACATTTCTTTCTTAACCCTCCCAAAGAGCGCCTTTACATCCACCCAGTCAGCTTTTATTCTATCAAATGTATCCTGAATTTCTTTTTGCCTCCCCTCATCATCAGCGTTCTTAAGGCTATTTGAAATCGCTTGTAGCAGTTCTTGCAACAGGTCGTCAACATTCGGTGCGAATTTGTGTATTAAGATGTCCATTTCACCCACATTTTTAACGTTCATCCCCTCCTGAACGTCAAGCTCTAGTGCAAGTATGGCAGCATTGGCGTGTACAAGCCAAAGGTCAATCTGTTCTACAGTGGTGTTGAAAGTTTCTATAAGGTTCGATACAGGGCGTTCAGTTGATAGAGCAAGATATATATTGGAAATTGGTGCTTCAAGTTTATATAAAGTTTGTACGTGATGGGCGAAGGTCTGGTTATCAGTGGGATTGAACCGCTCAGCGGAAGGGAGAAAGTTGTTTTGTCGAGAATGTAGTGGCTCTGGCATTTGGGACATTGAACTTGCTCCTTGCCCAAAGAACCCAAAAGTTTTTTGAGGGGTTATTATTATAGCGTTGTACGAAAAGTGAGTACAATAGCGTTTATCATATATAGTTGGGTTAATATGTACTGTAACGTAGCGAACGTATAGTAGATAAAGATGGCTAATGATGAGTGTCAAAAAAAGCTGATGATTTTATAATTTGAAAACGCTCTACTTCAAAACATGCTATACAGTATATCAGTCAGCAATAGGCAGGTGGAAGAATATGATGACAGGACTTTCGAACAAAATACAAAATCGCAATGAATTTTGACTTTAACTATTTAAGTATTGGAATGACGAAATTCCGCAGGTTATTATATACCCGATGAGAAATGAGTTTTACGGAGAAAAAAGGTGTTATGAGGGTGTACATTGCATATCTTATGAAAATGATTGAGATAGATAAGAGTGATACTCTAGTTTTTTTTTTTTTTTTTTTTGACATTGTAGTTTTTGGCGGGAATGCTGTGAACCTTCTCATCGAAATAAAATTCAATTGGTTATTGTGTCGTGCAAACGAAAGTATACAATTGCAATTTGCAATAATTTATTCAAGTCCAACTAAAGTACTTCATGAATAAAATTTATAGATTTTCACATGACAGTTAACTTATCATTGTATATTATTAGTTGAAGAATTATACTACTTAAAAAATGAGAAGTTCACTAAGCTAATTTAAAGTCTAAAGTAGATACTCTAAATCAGATTTAGAGAATAATATTTCACTCTCCTGATAGACCTTCTATTTATCAAGATCATTATTACTATAGATTATTTGAAAAATAAAGAATTATTGAATTAATAAAATAAAATAAAATAAAAAATTTTTATTCAAATAAACAATATCTTTTTGCTAATCTTTTGATTACATGAGGTTTTTTTATTTCTTTACTAATAAAGTCTTAATACTTTTTTTAAAACAACTTGAAATCTAATTTCAAGAGTTATCTTTATCCTTCCTCTATTGTTTACAAAAATTTTTTTTTCATAACTTGACTTCCAATGATTAAAAAAAGTCAAATAATATTTTTAATACTAATAACAAGAAAATTTTTTAAAAAAAGAACTAATTGTAAAATATCTAAAGACTTTTTTAATCTTTGAAGCAAGAGATTTATAGAGGTTTTGTAACAATTAAAAGATTTGTTTCCTTTCTTTTGAATTGTTTTAATCTCTTAGAGCTCATACTTTCATTTCAATTTGACTTAAAATTTTAAATAATACAAATTTTTATTAAAGATAATTAAATAACATAAAATATATTAGTTTTTAAAATATAAACAAGTTCCTATTAATTACATTTATATACTCTATCTCAATAATATTATTGATAATTAAAAAAATTATTCAGGAAATATTTATTTTTCAGAAGTTTAAATCCTTTAAGAAAAACTTCTATAATATTAAAAAATTATGAAATAGATAATATGAATTAAAAATTTTTTTTCTTTTTTAAGTTTTTCAAATAGTGACAAAGCTTTAATAAACAAAAAGTTGAGATTTGAATATTTTACTTAAGAAATTTCAATCTAGTATTTGCTTAGATAAAGAATTGATTAAATTAATTTATTTTATATAATAAATAATAATAATAAAATTTTTTTTCAAAATTCAAGTAAAACAAGAAAAATATTTTAATTCTTTTGAAAAGAGAATGGCTTTGTTTTTAAACTTTTTAATAAGATCTTGAATTGTCTTCTTTTTTCAATCAATTTTTTTTATTTTTTTTTTTTTTTAACTTAATAATTTATTAATTTTTGAATTAATTAACTATAATAAACTATTGGCAATAATTCTAATAAATAGAAGTTATAATTAGTCTATTAGAAAAATATAATATTGTCTTTAAAATTCAACTTAGAATACTTATATATAATGACAAGTTAGTTATTTTGTGAAAGTCTTAACCTATTATAGATTTTATTTTAATTTCTTAATAAAAACATACTATTATAATATAATTATAAGTTTAAAAAAAAAACCCCTGTTTATTTAAATATTCTTTGACTTCAAATTATTTAAAATTTTTATTTATTTTTTATTTTTTATTTTTTTTTAACCTGCAATTATGTCACAATGGCATGTTTTTATTGAAAAATTGAAAATGAATTTACAATATTTTACAGACTTTCACAAAATGACTAACTCGTCTTCATACAAAAGTACTCTAAGTCAGATTTTGAGGACAATATTTCACTTCCCTAATAGATTGGTAATAACCTTTATCTATCAGGATCATTGCCAACAGTTTGTCACTATTGATTGCCCGAAAACCAATAAATTGCTAAGTTAAAAAAGAGGAAAGAGGAAGGACGATTAAGGAAAGAGAACAATTCAAGGCCCACCAAAAAAATCCAAAAATAAAAACAACCTCTTCTCAAAAGGGATCTGCCTGATTGGGATA